TAGATTTGTTTTCTCTGAAGCTATTAGAAAAGGTCTTCTGAAGTGGACAATTTCAACACATGATAAATCACAGGTTACCCTTCCTGTGCCATGTCATATGTCAAGTTGTTCACCTGCTTTCTCTCTCTTAATCTTATTTCAAGACCATAAAAGAGGTAGAATAAATTTGCCCATGGGTCTGGAAGAAAGCATTTAGTTGTTCAATAAAAAGGGTTTTAAGAGATTATCCATTAAAATTATAATAATTAAGGAACAACTTGATATGGCAGTGGTGCATCTGGCTGGTTTGTAAAAGACTGGTAGGCAGGACACAGACGCTCAGACCATACAACATAATGGTGTGGTATGAATCATTACAGATGATTGCAGTGGCCTGTGACCTGTAGTTGCTAAACAGAAGCTGAATTGATTTTTGTTGGTTTTTTTATTTTTGATGAATAGCATATCTTTAATACTTTTTTAAAAATCTCTGATCATATAGAGAGAGATGGAAAGAGAGGGAGAGAGAGAAAGAAAAGAAAAAAGTAAGAAATAAAAAAGAAAAGAGATTCTAGAGCTGGATTGAATGGAAGATGAGATGGTATCAGGAAAATTCTTTTGGCGATTAGGCATCTAAATATTCGAAATATCATTCATCCAGGTCAGGTCAGGTCAGGTCTCAGACTTCCCAGGGAGGAATTTTTCTCTGTGCTTTCCATATGTTGACAATAAGGGAGCTGAGGCCTGAAGAGGCTTGATAGCTTGCTCATGGTACTCAGTAGTAGGCTCAGAATGTCCATTCTGGTCTCCCAGACTCTATAGTCCAAGCTCTTAACTATATTTTACCATATTTGATCCTTAGAAGGAAGGTAAGAAATTTCTGATTCGGACCTAAAAGCATAAAGTGGTTGAGAAGGGTTTGGAATTAGTTGAGAGTAGAGAAAGTAAGCACCTAAGTGTGCCTCAGTGCTATTTTGATTAAGTCTTGCTTTCAGCTGTTTTCTTTACTGTCTTTCTAGAGAAGACACACTTAGTAGCATCATGGGTGCTAGTCTTTTCTCCTCAGTGACTCACATCTGGAGGTAGTTTAACAGTTGGTTCTATGACACCAGGCCCATTACCTGTCATCTGGTGGCAGCTAACTGAATTATCCAATTTCGAGGGCATTCTCTCTTAAAAATCTTTTTTGAAGATCTTGGGCTGAGGAAAGGCAGGTAGACCTAAAGTGGCTGAAGCTTGAGTGAAGACATTGACCCAAGTCATTGCAAAATGCGAATGTCTGCCTTGCAGATATTCAGAAATATATAAATGAGTACAAATGCCTTGCCAAAAGTGAGAGGAGACTCCAGCTGGGAGATATTGTCAAAGGCCAGGAGACAGGTTGAGCTGAAATAGAGCAGGAGAAGTTGAGAGTAAAGCAGGGGATTCTGGGGGCTGTCGAGAATGTTCCTACAAGGTCTGAGGACAGACGGGTCAGTTTATAACACATCATCTTCTTAAAGAAATAGTTCAATGATTAAATTTTTATAACACATCATCTTCTTAAAGAAATAGTTCAATGATTAAATTTTTATCTATGAAACAAAACTCCACAGGTTTCTTAGATATAGTCGCATCCACCTGTTATTCATATATATGTTCAGTAGAAATTAAGTGATGATCTACCCTGGGCTCAGAACCATTCTAGGCTCCAGGTAATAAAAGATGAGGAACCCAGTTTCTGCCTTGAAGGATCTCCCAGTCCTGGTTCCGTAGAGGGAGACATGAGTTTCTTTTATTTCCTTATTTTTTTTTAAAAAAGTCCATTTTCCCCCTGGAAGTGTCTTGGTTTTCATAAATGCCCATGGTGTGGCATGCTGTGTCATTATGATAATAATTTGTAATCGGTGGAAAATCAAAGGAATGATTGGAAGTTCTTTTAGTTATGGGAACAGCTGGTTCTCTCAGGATAACACTGGAAAAAACTATACTATATGAGTAAGGATTTGTGGGGTCCAGGTTTCTCTGGAGGGATAGCTGCTTTTCTTGCAAATACCAAAGGTTAAATTCTGACATTTTAGCATGTCTGTGAGTAACTATATGACTAGGTACATGAGTGACCAGCTCCCCCAGGAGACTTCTGATTAGAAACATCCTGGTTTGATAAATGGAACTCAATTTTTTTATTTTTCTTTTTGGTACTAGGAATTGAACCCAGGGGCACTCTACCACTGAATCATATCCCCAGCCTTTTTTTTTTTTTTTTGGTAGTTGTGGATGGACAGCATACCTTTATTACTTATTTTTATGTGGTACTGAGGATCCAACCCAGTGCTTGATGTGTGTGAGGCAAGCACTCTGCCCCTGAGCTATAACCCCAGGCCTCCCTAGCCTTTTTTAAAGCGAATTTATTTATTTATTTATTTTTATGGTGCTGGGGATTGAACCCAGTGCCTTGTACATGCTAGGTAAGTACTCTACCATTGAGCTATATCTTTAGCCCCAATAGACCTTATTTTTCTTAAAGTCTTTTATAACTTTTCAGACTGGTGACTTTCCTTTGCTGTTGCTTTTCGGCTAGAAGGAAAAGCAGTCTGTCAACCTATCACTTTTTTTTTTTTACTACATTTCAATTTGGCTTTAGGTACTTGTATTAACTTGATATCATGTTGTGAGGTGATTTTGGTCAGAAGCCACCTACACTCTTTCAGTTCGGGCTGCAGGATTAATCTGGTGGTTTTCATTAAGCCAGTCATTCATTCACTCTCTAAACATTTATCACACACTGTGCTGAGCCGGGAGCTGTGTTAGGTTCTTGATATACAATGTACAAGAAGTAGGTGTGTATTGGTTGATACCCCCATTGGGCTTACTATAATACTAGCATTATAATTAATAAGTGCTAAGAAAGAAAGGACTAGACTAACATGATGGACAATAGGGCTGGGCTAATTTTGGATTGGGAGATAGGAAAGGCTTCTTTAAGAAAGACAATAATGCTGAGATTTGTAGAAGTGGGCAACAGCCAAGCCAAGAGTCTGGGGAAGAGATTCCAGGCAAAGGGAGTATCATATGTGTAGATTTTGATCTGGAAAAAAAGGGAATATCACCTGTAAACTGTCAGAAGCCAACATGACTGTGGCATATTCCCGGCAGGGAATGTGGCAGGGTTGCTCAGAGTCAGACCATGCAGGGCTTTGTAGCATCTGGTAGAGTGTGGATTTCATCATGGGTGCGAAGTGAAGTCATGGGCAGGTTGTAAGCGTAGAAGTAGCATAATCTGCTTACATTAAAAAAGAATCACTGAATTTTGTGTGTAGAATGGATCAGATGATATACATGAAAGAAAAGTAGTACGTGCCAGGTGTGGTGGCTCAGACCTAGAATCCTAGCTATTCTGGAGGCAGGAGAATTGTAAGTTCGAGGTCAGCCTCAGCAGCTTAATGAGATCCTGTCTCAAAAACAAAAACAAACAAACAAACAAAAACAAGTAGGGGTGTAGCTCCATGGTAAAGTGCCCTGGGTTCAATCTCCAGTAAAAAAAGACAAAGAGGAAGGAGGAGGTGGAGGAAGAGGAGGAGGAGAAGGAAAGAAAAGCAGTACATAGTCCAGTCATCATATGTATATGGTTTATCTGCATCGCACCTGGGCAACTTGCTTTTCTAAGCTCTATGGCAAGGTGGGCATGGAGGCAGGGAATATCCTGGGCATCATGCAAACTTCCTCCTCCTGCCTCCCCCTACCGAAGGTCCTGCCTGGGAGGCAGAATGAGGCTTACAGACCTTCAAACTAAGTACAAAGTGTCTGCGAAGGCGGGAGAGGAAGTCTTTGAGGGGGAAAACAATAAATCAAGTTTTAAAGGTCTCAAGTTAAAGAACAGGATTCCAGGCTTATGTTGACTCTCAGTGAAAGGAACACATTTGGCTATAAGTATCTCAGGAAACATGTCCTTAGGGCCCATTGATTTAGAAACATCTCTATTTTCAAAGTGGTGTTTAGTCAGCCCCTTCCCTTTTCTAACTCAATTTCCTACTTTCCCCCCTCATGGACCATGCATTCTTTGGTTATCTGATTTGCTCTTGTAATTTTTTTTTAAGACAAGTAAAAACGTCTTGAAAAATCCAGGCTTTTTAGTGTCACTTGTCATTAGTTTCCTTTCCCAATTTTCTCCCTTGGGGTAGTATTTTCTTCTTGACTTGTCAGAGTTAGCTTGCTCTGCCCCCCGCCCCCAGCTCCCCTTACATGGGGCTTTGGGGAAGGGATGGGTAGGAAAGGGGATCAGTGCAGGAATGTGGAGTTGGGCAAGGGATCAGCATAGGAATGTGTGCTGGTAAGACCAGGGTTTGTTGATAGAGATGGGGGTTTAAGGGTGAGAGATAAATACCTCCCAAATTCACAGTGTAAACCTTGTGGCAGATTACCTCAGACTTATAGGGTGTGCTTTGTCTATCAGGTGTGAGTGAAAGTTGTGATACCCTGGAATCTGCTTGGCCTTATGGTTAAGAATACCTGGGTTTGACTTCTTCTACCTTCCTAGTCTAGCAACTATGAGCCACAAAGAGATCAACATAGGTGAGTGCCTATTACTACCAGGCAATATGCATAAATGCTTCTGGACACTCAGAGGGATGGACATTGTTTTCTCCATTTAGAGATCCAGGAAAAGTTCAGAGAAATTAAGTGACGTACTCAAAGACACACAGCTGTCAAGCTTCATTTATTCAATTTGTTAAAGGAAAATAGTAACATATCATTGGATAATAATAATCAGAAAGGAATTTGTAAATTGTGAGACTTCCATGAAGATACCTGGTACTATATAAGCCATCAAATTGTCAGTCAGCATCTTTGAGGGTTCTCTAGAATTGGCCTTAGATAACACCTCTTCCTAGGAAGTCATTCCAGTAAAAATAAGACTTGTGATCTACCTAGGGACTAGCTGATCTTGGCCAGTTCTTTTCCGTCTCAGGCATCCCACTCCCTTTCCCTATTCTGCATTACACTTGCATAGATCTGTTAACAGAACCCTTCTTCCCTCACCCCACAGGCAAGAAAGGCAGGAGAAAGCCTGATCTCACCCTGTTCCCCTCTGCTGATGAACTCAAGATTTTTCTGTGGTTTCAGCATGTATGTCACATCTTCAGCATGACACACTTTTCTCCCACGTAAGTCTTAAGGTCCTCCTCATGAAGGAATGATAGCAGATGTATGTAGTTTTACAAGGTGCACAGCTCCATTTGCCCTTTCCCCTTGACAATGAGTAAAAGGCCCCACAGCACTGGATAGTGTGGATTTCAAAAAGGGGTTTCCCCCCTAATAACTGCAATCAGTAGAAAATGAAATCCTTGGCATCATGATCTCTGCAAAAATATATATTGATATTAGTATTTAGCACTCTTATATGTCAAACTCTAGTTATGGCAGCTTACTTCATGAAGGAAATAAGTAAATTAGAATAATTCAGTTGTCCCACTTAGTTCAGTTTGGGAGTCTTCTTCACTATTTTCTTTTTTTAACATCCATGGAAACAGAGGTGAAAACCCTTTACCTCCTCCCCACTGCACTATTGACACTATAAATATTGACCTGAATTATAACCAGTAGGTTCTCATTGAAATAAAAGGTCTGCCTTGGGGTTTAAATTCCTAACTGACTGGGCAAGACGAGTCCCAGTTAAAGGCTTCTAATAAGAAAAATAGAGATTTGGTGTTAAAACATCTTCAGAAAATTTCTGGAGAATGTTACGAATAACTTTATAGCGCTTACTATTGTCTGATATGAAGTAGAGCCTAGATCTATCTTTTCTGCTAAGGAGTTGATAGCTGGCACATTTCTGAGCCCATAATTGTTTCTCAACAAATATTGATTAAAGAGAAATGAGGAAAAGGACATGTTGAGAGCAGAAGAGCAAGATAAAGCCATTCAGGACTTTTCCCTCCTCCTCCCCCTCCTTTAATGATAGCAAGAGTTACCACAACTGACGTGTCTGCTGGAGTCAGGGACTGCGTCAAGTCCCTTGTATGCAGCATCCCTTTTCATTCTTACGGTCCTATAAGTCATTCATTTTTTTTTTCATCAAGTAGATGAGGACCCAGGATCATTAAGAATCCAAGTTACCTAACTCAGACATGGCATTTCTGAGATTTCAAATTATGTCTCTCTGCTTGTTTGTAACCACTGAGATACTTTTCCAAATGAGCTAATATTCTTGTCTATTTCATGAAAATAATTGGGCCAAGTATTAGAAAATATTTCATGCAGTCTTATCTCAGTTGGCTTGCAAAATTACCCCACTGGTACTTGAGTAGGGCAAATACTGAGCTGAAGTTAAAGATGTATGTATATATAGGATAATGTCTAGGTAACCCTAAAGAGTTAAACAGAATTAAAAGTTTTCAGTATTAAATTCAAGACAGGAAAGTGTTAGCATGTTATAAGGAAAATTCCCTTCCTTCGAACCACTGGGTTTTTGCCAAGGCTGCAAGGGTAGATGCTGCATTAGTGGAAAATGAATTTGATCTGGTAAGACATCTTCTCAATCCTTGTGTAAGATTAGTCTGAGTAGCAATCACTTGGTAACAATTTGGAACGGAGTTTGTTAGAAAAACATAGCTTTGTCTGGGTTGAGCCTAGAAATGGGTGACAGATGTTAATGATGAGCGACTGAACAGATGTTTGGGGGAGAATTACAAAAAGGGTTTCTATCACACAGGATCTAAACCTTAACCTTCCTGGCTGATGCTGAAAGGAGAGCTTGTTTGTGAAACATGTTCTTACAAAACTGTTTGGCGGATTGTGACAAAGATGAATGACCGGATGCTATAATTTAAATTTGAAAATAAGGTAAATGGGAGTCCTTGTTTGTGTGCGTGTGTGTATATGTGTTTTCTTTGACAAGGGTCAATGCCTTATTAAAGAATGGGAAGACCAAACAATTCATTCCATTCTGCCTTCCTCATTTTATTCCACACCTCCCTCCCCACCACTGATTCCACACTTTAAGGCTCAACAGAATTATTAAAATACCATCACTTATGCCCTTCCTGAAATATCTGCTATAAAATTACATTTGGAAAAGAGAAAGATTTTTTCTGCAAATTTAATAGGTAGTTTTAATTGGGCTCTTTGAGACTTACTTAAAGTTTTAAGGAGATGAAAAATATCCCTCTTCCAATGCAAATAAGAAACAAAGGAAGACTGTACAAGCTTTACATCTATTGCCACAAACTGATCCCACTTCACAGAAAGATGAATGGTGGTTTGTGTCTTACCAATTATTGTGATACTTCCCAACAATTTGCCTTAAATTAATGATAGATTGGTCAGAGGCATTTGTTAATTCATCTGTATACATAGGTCATATTAACATAAATATGAACTTCTGCTAACTGTAGCTATGCCTACATATTAATACCAAACATCTGGTTAAAAAAGGTAAATGCAGTTAAAATTCAGATAATCTCAGTTTAGTGTTATAGTATTAATAAATGCCATTGAATTTATGATAGACACTGACATACACAATAGCACTACATGCCACTACAATAACCCTGCAAAAAGAATTTGATGTTACCATTTAATGGATATGAAAGTAGAAGCTCAGAGAAGTTAAGTGCATTGCTCAGGGTCACACATATGAGCAAGTAACAGGTTCAGGAATTATCCCCTGCTCTGGGATACTAAAAATTCCTCTCACCTTTTAATATTACAGACAATCCTGGATACAGCAGACATTCAACTCTTCAATTAAATCCTTGTATGTCACTGTATTTCAAAATGGAAGCTGACTTAAAGCCATGTTCTCAAATTCAGAGTCTGAAGTCTTACTTAAGTATGGTTCAAAGAGGATTATTAACCCTCTGTGTTGTTGAAAGGAGAGGGAAAGTACTAGAATCTGTCTCTTGCATTGTACTGATGAACACACATTAGGGAGATGGTGACAAAAGAGTAGTAGCATGTCACCTTTGGGCAGGGTAGTATACTAGAAGCTGTGATGGTCAAAAAGGTAATTGAGTTACTAGGAGCACACAGAAAAAGTAAGGCATGTAAATAAAGAGTGATGAGTCAGAATGGCATCCAGCCAGGGGTGTGAGTTCAAGGCAGAAAGATTTTCAGCTGTGGTGACAAGGCAAAGCTTCACGGAAGAGATGCCATTTGCACTGTGAGCTTGGAGTTTAATGTCCAGTAAAGCTTAGTTCTTTTTCTTTCAGCCTGACCTGCCCTTCCTATTCCATGTTCCCTTCTTTTTCCTATTATTTCCAAGCTTCTCAAAAGAGTAATCAAGATGTTCTGCCTTCATTTCTACTTGCTAATCCTTCAACCCATGATCCTGGCTTATGTCCTTTGACTAAGACTGCTAGTTGACTTCTAATATCTGTTCTCTCTGTGATCTTTAGGAAGAGAGCCCTTAATGTTTATCTGGGAACATGGGCATGTATAATAAAACTTACATTTACTTGTAGCAAGTTATGGAAATGATAAATGATGGCAAATGAATTGATTTTTTTGAAGTGATTATCCAACTTCTGAGCTATATCCTTGCCATGATTTGGATCTGTAATGTCCCATAAATGCTCATGTGTTGAAGGTTTGGTTCTCAGTGCTGCTTGTTCAGAGATGGAGATTTGGGTAAGTCTTTAGATCATGAGGGCTTTGACCTCATCAGATATTAATCCATAGTGGGTTAATATGATAGTGGCATTTTGGGGAAGTGGTGGAAATGTTAGGAGGTGGTATAAATGTTAGAAGTTGGACAAAATAGGTCACTGGGGGGGTATCCCCAGCATTCTGCATGCATGTGCACCTCTCTCCTTCCTGGCTGCTTGAACAGCTTTTCTCCACCATGCCTTTCCTCCATGATGTTCTGCTTCACACAGCTTCATTGCTGTGTCATCTTTTCATAGCTATGAATAAAACCTCTGTCAAGAACCAAGAACAACTTAGAGGAGGAAAAGTTTCTTTTGACTCATGGTTTCAGAGATTTAGTCCATGGTTGGCCAACTTCATTGTTCAGAGTAGTAAAGAGAGAGAGAGGGAAAGAGGAGAGAAGGAGTGAGAAAGAGGAGCATGAGAGTGAGAAACTAGGGACAAGATATATTCCCCAAGGGCACACCCCTAGTGACCTACTTCTTCCAACCATGCCTCATCTGCCTACAGTTACCACCCAGCACTGCATTCAGATTACTAATTCATCAGATGGATTAATTTACTCATGAGGTTATCTGTCTCATAATCTTATCATTTCACTTCTAAACATTCCTACATTGCCTAACACATGAACTTTTAGGGGAACCCTTCCTATGCAAACCATAACAAGCCAGGTGGCCGTAGTAGACTGAAACCTTGAAACCATGGGCCAAAATAATTCTTTCTTCCTCTAAATTATTTTTATCAGATATTTGTCACAGTGATGAAAAGCTGACTAACATGACTTTTAGGGAGAAGGGGTATTCCTTTCCCTTTCCCTTCTTCCTGTTGAAAGGAATGTGGTTGTGGCATTGGTGAGCCATCTTGGTCTATGTAGATGAAAGTGTCACTCTAGGGGTGGAGGAGCAAAAAGATAAGGGGAGCTGGCCCCTGACGACCAGGAGGCTGCCATACTTGTTCTAGAACAATCATTCTTATGTTAGTAAATAAGACAATATCAGGAAAGTTTGCAAAATATTTTTAAGTGATTCTTGGGTATTCTGAGTAGCTTACCTAAGCCAGGTTATCTCTTGGGTATTCTGAGTAGCTTACCTAAGCCAGGTTATCTCTACTATTCATTGTCTTTGAACTATTTTACAACTCTGTGAATTGTAGGTAGTTGATAGCAGTATAAATAATTGTTTATTTTCCACACACAAATTCTGTCCAGTCAGGGCCAATTGATTCCTTGACCCCTTCTCCCCCACTCCTGCCATCTCCCTCTGCCCTTTGGAAAAGACAGTTTTGCATCTATCTATAAGTTTATTCCATTATTCCTAGTTTTCATTTATAAGTGGAATACTTTGAAATCTCCTTTGAACTGGTAGTAACACTATAATGATGACTCCATTGGTTTGTGAGTTTCAATCTTTGACAAGCATTCATTTTATGAATCAACATTATTCATTTATGAATCAACATTGATCATTTATTTAAAAAAATACTCTTTAACAAGAAGGATGAACTTATACCTCATATAATACACAGCTATTGTAGGTTTCTGTTATAATGATCACACACAAAGTGCATCACACATGGTAAGTATAATTTATGAAGCTTTGGATTCAGATACACATATATATTAGTTTCTTAGGGTTTCTGTAATGAATTATCACAAACTGGGTGGCTGAGAACATCAGTAATTAATTGTTTTACAGTTCTGGAGCCCAGAAGTCTGAAATGAAGGTGTGGCTGCTCTTTGAAATTTCTAGAGGGGAACCCTTCCTATTCTTTCAGCTTCTGGTGGCTCCTGATGTTATCATAATTCCTGCTTTTATGTATGCATTGCCTTCTCTCTGTCCTTTTCTGTGTCTTATAAAGGTATTGTCATAGGATTTAGGGCTTGCCCTAACCAAATAGTATCACATCTTAATCTTTACCTAAATTACATCTGCAAAAACCTTGTTTCCAAATAAAGCCACACTCTATTGTTCAGGGTGGACATGAATTTTGGCGAATGCTATTCAAACTACTATGTATATATTTTTTTCTTGATTACTATGTAAAATATTTTTCTGATCATGAAAAGTCTCAAAAGTTTAAAGGCCAAGAATACAAGACCACCCCCGCCCACCACTGCTTTTTCTAATCAGATTCCCTTTTTGGCAATAATAATAGTAATAATTAATTAGTAAAAAATTTCTCCAAATTACTTATAATGAATCATTTCAGCCTGATAACCGTTTAGGAGGCGAGATGAAATAATATTGCTGTTTTAACAATTATCATACAGCTAGAAAGTGAAGGAGCCAGAATTCAACCCTGAGCCCATGATTTCCCACAGCATCATGTTTCTTTGGAACTCTCATCTCCCTCGTGGCTTCCATATTACTGCATCAATCTGGATGCCTCTGGCTCTGACCTGGCTCCATTTTCTGGCTTCTGCTTAGGAGTAGAGAAGACCTACCTCTATCTGTTGGGAGAATGAAAGGAGCCAGTGAGCAGCAAGATTGAAGACAGTCAAAGTAGAAGGAGTGACTAATAAAATGAAGCTCCAAAGAAAAGACCAAGGACCCAGGCGGAGGAATTTGCCTTAGGAAAGGGAATTGCTACTTCTTCCTTTGAAACATTTAGTTATTTTAATGGGGCAAACAGTGGCAACAGCAGAACCAGAGAATTCCTTTTCCTTTAGATGTCTTAGTTCCATTTTTGGCCATGAACCTTGATGTGAAAGGCCAGCTTTGCCACATGGACAAGATGCTTCATTTTACAAGCCCAGCACAAGATAACAGGAAGTAGTGAAAAATGTTTGGTTACTGAAGAAAAAACAAATGAGAAAGTACAACAAAGATAAGCAGAAAGAAAAATCTAACACCCAGAGGCCTTCCTCTTTGTCACCTCATCAGCGGAGGTACCAACTCCCAGAGAAATGGAGAACAGGTCAGGAATCCATGACAGCTATGTTCCTCAGCCCAGAGGAGCTTTCAACAGCCACAGGAGTTGGACAATTACAAACCGTTATCTTCCCCAGATGATTAATGGGGTATCCTGTGGGAAGCTTCCACGGCTCATTTCTTCAAATCAGGACCTTTAAATAAGAATGCATTGTTGTAGGGGCAATAAAACCATCAGAATGTGGCTCTGGCTTCTTTCCATCTTATTAGACTTGAGGTAATTATTCAGGTAATTCAGGAAAAATAAACTGCCATTGCCTGAAT